AAAATAATACTGCATTCACAAAACTGTTTTTATAAGACAATGAAACTATGTTGCATTAAGTTTGTCTTTATTTGCTTTGAATTATTGTATTTCAATATTAATATAAAGCTGATACGGAGTTTATGGTATTGTATAGTGTGGGGGCATTAATTAGGCCCATTTTAATAGTAACTCTCAAGCAACCGGACTCTAAGTTTAGCCAGCCTCTACCAATACCCATGGATGCCAGTTAACCGAGAGTCTGCTGTATTGATAGTACTATTTCTTCCTTAAGATAATCTTATGGAATTAATGGAGCCACGGTAAGTCAACACATGACTTGAAGGCACACAGGCACTCTATTTAAAAATTAAGGTGTTTTAGGGTTTTTGTTTTTTTTTTGCAATAAGCAATCAAATTAATGTTCCATGTATTTAGTGAAGCTCATTGAAAAGCATATGCTAAGCAAATCTTAAAGATGTTGCAAGACCCTTTTGTTTCAATGCAGTTTGTTTTTATGTTTCATTAGGTATGTTCCATCCATTACTGAGATCCTGGTCTTAGATTTGTTAGATTAGCAAGAGATGAAAAAGATCACAGTTCAAGTCAACAGTTCAGCAGAATCAAAATAGCCTGTACAGTAGCAGTTCCCAATTTCTGGGCCTCCAGGTGTTTTGAACTTCAGCTCTCACAGTTCCTAACAGCTGATAAGCTGCCTGGGATTTCTGGGAGTTGAAGTCCAAAACACCTGGAGGCCCACAGGTTGGGAACCACTGCTGTAGAGGCTGTCTTATCTGCAAGGGGACTGATCCAGATAGAACAAGACATCCAGTCCCTTTCAATCTCTTCTTTTTTCTATTTCAGGTGAGATCTGTGTCTGTTGATCTAAACACTGATGCTTCACTACAGATTGATATTCCTGATGCCCTCAGTGAAAAGGACAAAGTGAAATTCACAGTACATACTAAGGTAAAATGGCAAAATGGAGAGAAAATAAGAATTGGAAGCTATACTTGGCTATTGTTGACAAGTCAATATCTGTGCTGCAAGAAGCTATACATTGATAAAAACACACACTAGCAAAGTGCCCCTTGCTTCTTATCATTCCAGCTCACTTCCCATACATCTGTTCATTTCATAGCCCACTTCAGCCTGCTATCCATAATTTCAGACTATTTATTTATTTATTTTTCTGGAAAGCTGGGTATGCTTCATAATCAATTGCATGGGCTATACCTGTCTACTATTATTTTATATATTCTAAGATTACATCTGTGAATTCCATAAAGAAGTAAGCATGCTGCTGGGAGCCAATGCCATTTTTCTTGTCTATATGAGTGTTTTGAGAAAAATAGAATGGAGTGGGGGGAGATAAAGCAATTCAGGGGTTATAGACATAAACATCAGAAAAATAATTGTTTATTAATAGTTGCAATATTAATTGTTATATATAGCATTAATATTATTTTCTATTATATGTATAGCTTTCCGGCATATATGCAGGTATAGCTATTGATGTCTTTAAATTGAATAATAATATTTCCGAATTACCCTTTTCCTTAAAAAGATATGAGGGGCAAGAAACCTGGAAGTTGTCATGGAAAATCTCCATTGGACTCAGAATTGGGAATGTCAGTACTAAGCTGAATAGGTCTAGAAGCGAATACATGAAGCTATTCATAATGATTGGATAGGAAGAGTAAACTATTGATGTGATGAAATGTGCTGCTGATCTCTTTCAGACCACACTACCAGCTTTTCAAGGCACAGAATTCTCAGTTACAAGACAGCATGAAGATTTTGAGTGGCTACATGATGTATTTATTGAAACAGAAGAGTATGCAGGACTCATTGTGAGTATATACAAAACTTGCTTAAGACGTTTTGAGTGCCCAAGAGTGGTATTTTTATGCTTGGGGTGCTCTTTATCACATTCTGATAGTCTGGGCTTCCAATTCATGAACCACTGTGAAGTTCAAAGCACCAGCACATCACTTGATCACTCTTAAATCTTGGATATTAGTATGAAAGAATAAATAGGCTCGCTGTTGGTCTTTTTATTATTCTATACAGTCATTGATACACAAATATGCAATCCTCCAGGGAGGAATACTGCACAGGCTTTTCATTATCTAGCCATATTGTATACATTACTTTACATTATGCTTTCATAGGGAATTTTATCTTCAACCTCTACTTTTCCCTAGCAGCCATTTCTCCTCTTAATCCATAGAGGAAACTATGCTTCAAATATGTGGCTAAACACACAGGTATCATTATGCACTTAGTAGTATCCATTACAAGGATAATAGGTAAAGGTTTTCCCCTGACATTAAGAGCAGTCGTTTCCAACTCTGGGGGCTGGTACTCATCTCAATTTCTTAGCCGAAGAGCCGGCATTGTCCATAGACACCTTCAAGGTCATGTGACCAGCATAACTGCATGGAGTGCCGTTATTATACAACGATAATTTGAAGTATCTATTTAGCATATCCTAAACCTTACCAACATTATCTGGGTCTTTTATTAGTTGGGAAAATGGAGTTGTTTTAAAAGTTGTCTTTGTATGATGAAGACTGATACTCAGTTGAGTCTACTATTTCTTTTTACATTGGGTTGCTATGAGTTTTCCAGGCTGTATGGCCATGTGCCAGAAGCATTCTCTCCTGATGTTTCACCCACATCTATGCCAGGTGTCCTCAGAGGTTGTGAGCTCTGTTGGAAACTAGGCAAGTGGGGTTTATATATCTGTGGAATGTTCAGGGTGGGAGAAAAAACTTGTCTACTTGAGGCAAGTGTGAATGTTGCAAATGGCCACCTTGATTAGCATTGAATGGCCTTGTAACTTTGAAGCCTGACTGGTTGCTGTCTGGGGATCCTTTGTTGGGAAGTGTTAGCTGGCCCTGATTGATTCTTGTCTGGAATTCCCCTGTTTTTTAGTGTTATTTACTATCCTAATTTACTATCCTAATTATTTACTATCCTAATTTTAGAGTTTTTTAAAATACTGGTAGCCATGTTTTGTTCATTTTCATGGTTTCCTCCTTTCTGTTGAGATTGTCCACATGCTTGTGGATTTCAATGGCTTTTCTGTGTAGCCTGACATGCTAGTTGTTAGAGTGGTTCATCATTTCTGTGTTCTTAAATAATAAGTCGTGTCTAGGTTGGTTCATCAGGTGCTCTGCTATGGCTGACTTCTCAGGCTGAAGTAGTCTGGAGTGCCTTTCACGTTCCTTGATGGGCAATGCTGCATTTGGTCGTCCCTATGTAGCATTGTCCACAGCTGCATGTTATATGGTAGACTCCTGCAGAAGTGAGAGGAACCCTCTTGTCCTTTGCTGAACGTAGCATTTGTTGACATTTCTTAGTAAGTCTATAAATATTTTGTGGGTTGTTTTCTCCATCAGCTTTCCTATGCGGTCAGTGGTTCCCTTCATGTTTTTACATTACTTCCAGCTTTTCCTTGTTGAGTCAGCTCAGAGATGCTTAATGGCTTTCACTTATACAATATTCTTCTCCATTCAGGCTAAAGATCTTAGTAATCATTCTTTTGTGACATAATACTTGGTGACCACTAATTCTTGTCTGCTTTCTGTCAACTTGCACTGCCACTTCAAGAAGAATATTGATAGGTTGGGATGTGTCCAGAACATGCCAACCAGCATAGTAAACGTTCTGGCAACCATACTCTGTAAGAAATAGCTGAGGGAGCTGGCTATTGTTAAGCTGAAGAAGAGAGGAGTGAGAGCTTATAGGATAACAATCTTTAAATTTCTGAAGGGATCTAAAAGATGGAGAAGGGTTCGTTTTTGCAGCTCCAGAGACTAGGACATGAACTCTTGGGTTCAAATAATAAAAAGGTCATTCTAACCAAACATTAGGATGAGTTTCCTGAAGGAAAGAGCTTGACTAGAGCACCCGAAACATTACTGGTTTTTCCTTTATTTAAAATTTTTAAACTGAGGTTGGGTGGATTTCTACTTGATGAATATGATAATCATAATCTCTATTTATATCCTGTCCTCTCTCCCCGAATGGACTTTGGACAGCTTACATTACAACAATCAACAAATTAGACAAAAGACTACAATAAACTATTATCACTACATAAAATGAAAATATTATTCAAATAAAAACAATAATTATGTTAAATACCCTTTAGTGTTCTTTCTAGCTCTCTAGTTCTGTGATTCAATGTATGACATTGACCCTTGAGACTGAAAACTTGTGATTTTGGAGAAGACAATAAATAAAATTAATGACTCATTTGTTCCTAATGCAGCTGCTCAGAGTGCCAGGAACTCTGCTGTTCCATAACTAAAGCCTAGTGTGGTAGAAATTACCACAACATTATTTGCCTCAGTAGCACTTACTAGCATTGTTGTCTTGCCTCCCAATAAGATTCCACCAGCCCCTGAAAAGCCTGATTTTGATGGCCCCAGAGAGAAGATGCATAAACTTGGAGAAGGAGAAATGTCTATGACAAAGGAGGAATTTTCCAAAATGAAGCAAGAGCTGGAAGCGTGAGTAATTTCTTGGTAAAGACTGTCTGTCCCATATAAACACACTGGCTGTTCCAACGTGCCTTCCCGGAATAATGATCCCATAGCACTTTGTCCTCCAAAGCACTTTACATTTCTTTAGGTCTGCTCGTATGCCCTCCACAAATGCCATTATCATTTTTCGTCCATGCTCCAGCATTATTTTCAATTTTTTAACTTTACATTTGGCCTTCCCACAGTTTTAATTGTGTGTTGTCTTATAATGATAATGTGTTTCGTTGTCTATGTTTTTATTTTAACTGCTGTATTGTCGTTATTATTTCTTGTATTGTTGTGTTGGGCTCGGCCTCATGTAAGCCGCACCGAGTCCCTTGGGGAGATGGTAGCGGAGTACAAATAAAGTGTTGTTGTTGTTGTTGTTGTTGTTATTATTATTGTTATTATTATTATTATTATTAAACATTGTCCCTTGTTAACAAATTATGCAAAGTTAAAGCAGATTTTTAAAGTTTTGAAATAGTATAAAAACATTTACTTGAGTTCAATGTTTGTATGTGTCCCTCAGTTTGAATAAAAGCCTCTTAGTACAGTTAATAAATGTAAGTAAAATATACATAACAAAATCTGATAAATTGACAAATGAAAAAGCAGTCAAAAGCAGCAAGAGGCAGCATGGTAAGTGTAAAGATCCCTTACCTTTCCAGCCTGGATGGCAGGGCCTAGGAACAGCAGGCCAGTTAGTTGCAGCTTTAGTAGGCCTGGCAGAGGGCAGCAGTAGCCATTTTAGTTCAGGGAAAAACACCATTTTAGAGAGGGGGAGTGTCCTAGGCCTGAGTTAGCATTAGAACAGCCAGGATTGGTTCAGAAAAGGGGGCGGAGTTTAGCAAGGTTTGGAGGGAAAGAAGAGGGCTTTTTGCAGTGAGTCTGTTGTTTTAGAGATTAGAGTAGGAAGGTAGTTTAAGGAGTTTGTGTTTGAGAATAGTTAAGAATAGGCAGTTTGCCTGAGGTTTGCCAGCGAAGTAAGCTGTAGCAAACTGGGAACAGCTATCAGGGAGAGATGGCTGGATTTGTAGTTAGCTAGGCCACAGTTTAGGGTAGCTAAGCTACAGTTGTATCTTGACAGAGATTCAGTTCCTGTCAAGAGTACTTGGTTTAAAGAGAAGAAAATCTCGGTGTTGTAACAAAGAAAGAACCATTTACAGGTAACCATTACGCTTGCAAGACAAACCAGGATTTCTCTGTAACCGCCAAGATTCTAAACAGCATTTACTTACTTTCTGTATTCCATCAATAAACTTTCCTTTGATTATTTTAAAACCTAAAAAGCCTGAGTCAAGTGTGCATTTGTGGATACCGTCCCTTTCCAACCTCAACTAAGTTTCCTTTATAGAAGAAAATAATAAGAAGACACAGTGTTTGGTGATCTTTAAAAGCATTTTTAATATTTTAAGCAGCTAGGGTGTTCCTGTGCATTGCAGTTTATGGTGGCAGCGAAAGTTAATTAGAGAATCATCCCCTCATAACGTTATATTGGTGCCAGTGAATTCTTTATATTGAAGAGAGACAGTTGGTGGGATCTGTTTGCCCCCTGTCGAGATATATTATTGGTGCCACATGTACGAGTCTTTATAATTGGTGGCAGCGGTGGGATCTGTTTGCCCCCCTGTCAAGATATATTAGTAGTGCCACATAACCGAGCTTTTATAGTAAGCAGTCTGGTTATTTAATTAGGTTTTGAGAGACTCAAGTGGAAGTCTCAATTGAATAATGGAATTCACTGGATGGCTTCAGAGCAGTCACTTTTGTCCATCTGACATACTGCTTTGACAATAAAATGGGTAAGAAGAAAGCCAATCACTATGTAACAAAATTTGAAAAAAAATGTTCCTGGTTTGAAAGTGTTATTCCTGTTTAATTGTGCGGTAGTTACGTTGAAAGTAGTTGTTATACTCCAGAAACTTCATTTTTGTGACTGTCACAAACTATGTTGAATTGTTTGAGACACTATGAGATATTAATTGAAAAACTATAGCAAACTGTGCTGCAGGATGTCTTGCAAAAACAAAGTTTTTGTAATTTCATAAACTTTTTCCATGTTTGTATGATAGAACCAAGTAGGAAATGAATTTTATAACCCAGGAACAAAAATCGTGTTACATAGTGCTATTATTATACTGTACCAAGACATACATGCTGGTATTAAAAATGCCAGCCAAATGCCAAGTGGAACAAAAATGTCTTTAAAATCCACTGGGACATAAATTGAAACAGTTTTCTGTCTGCTATTCTGTGATTGTGATATATCTTCCTCTGCTATAGTTGATCTTAACAAAATATATCGGTGTGGATATATTTTGATTGCAATTGAAGGGATCCTGAACAAATATTAGTTACTATTGTTATCATTATAATGAATAATAAATCAGAGCAAAACAGTTTCTGAATCATGTTTCCTGGGGTCAAGGAAATCGAAGTCCATTATATTGAATCCATACAGTTTGTCATAACAGTCAAGTATCATTCATTTTAATAATATTTGAAAATACAATTTGCAATGCCTTCATGCTTTCTAGCAGTGGGACTTGCAAAAGTTTAGACTATATGTTTAAAGTCGCACTGCTAACTGATGTACATATGCATGTATTCTGTGTTTTGTTCCATTCCAGGGAATACCTTGCTGTTTTTAAGAAGACTGTATCTTCACATGAATTTTTTCTTCAGCAGATTTCAGCTCACCCTGTTCTTAGCCAAGATCACAACTTCCATGTCTTCCTTGAATATGATCAGGATGTAAGGCACGTTGTCTTTTAAACTGTCAGATTACATAAAATTGCACCAAGCCAAGCTTTATTCAACCAGCCACTCATGGAATTGATTACAGCCTCCCTGAAAGGCATGATAACCTATCTGAAGTTTGTTAAGTCCTTCTATACAAATACCCTATCTCATGTTTCAAAATCTGAGGAGTTTAAACCCCCCGTAAGAAGGTTGCAGTACATTGTCGGCTGCAGTAAGCTTAATGAATCACAATTGGAGCTTTGCAGCAAGCTTTCCAGAGAGTTCCTTCAACTGGAATTGGGTGTTTACAAATAGCTATGACTGATGGCTCCCATATTATTTGGCAATAAATTAATTCCAGGTTATAATCCACACTTTCAAGGAGTGACCCAAGGTTCGGAGTCTGTAATGGACGATAGTGTTCAACATCTTTAAGAGCATATTTATAGTTTTAATTGAAACCCAGAGTAGATTCAGCATCCATTATTAAGAATCCACCAGTTGTGACTAACAAACAGTTGCATACTTTTGATTGCATTAAAATGTTGTGGTGAAATATACTAGGTTTTTAAAGTTTGTGCTGGTAAACTATTTTCCGTTAGCACCTGTGGGTTGAGAGCTAGCATGCAGAAACTAAAGGGCAGGTGGGAAAATGACAATTTAGATCTTAGTGTCATTTTTTGTGAAAGTTCCTTTGCTCAAGATGTGATTCACCTGAGAGAATTTATAATAAAACCTCTGTTTATGTACTACAAAGCTTTGTTGCCATGTAGAGCCTACACCCTATGGATAACAGCTTAGACAGTTACAGTGATATATCTCCTGCTGGAGTGCCTCCTGATATGATGCTGTATGTTGCTTGTTCAGTAAATTACAGGTTTCTATACTACAGTATGTTTTATTTAAGTAGATATCCAATAGTATTCAGTATTGTTATTCAATTTATTTAAATTATAGTACAATAATAACAAAGAGGTCATTACTTTTTGCTCAGTTTTGTCCTATTTCTCCTAGCTAAGTGTTCGGAGGAAAAACACAAAGGAAATGTTTGGCGGCTTTTTCAAAAATGTGGTAAAGAGCGCTGATGAAGTTCTGCTCTCTGGTGTTAAGGTAAGATCTGTTTTCTGGTTAGGTCTTTTTCATGTTCATTTACATTGTTCAGTTGTCCAAACATATATATCTTTATATGCCTAGATAATAAAAATCTCAAGGCATATTTCTTTTTCTGTACAGGCTTAAAGAAAATATAGCCAGAATATATTTCTTAAATCTGGAGGCAATGGGGCAGGGATCTCAAGGGACCGTAAAGCACACCACATGGCTTGTGGACCGCATGATTCCCATTCCAATCAAGAATGTGAAGATAATTACAAATATATATTTGGGGGGGGGGGGTTGTTTGCTAGATTTTTGATTAGAAGAAGATACCAAATTCTGCACTTTTAATTTGTACATAATGAATAAACTAGGTAAATTCTCAGTGTACCCTAAATACAAATTTAAAATAATCATATATTCATACTTTTGAAAATTTAAAATCAATATAAAATGTTTTAGACATACTCTTGTAGTCCTATATACAATTTTTCAGGTATCCACCTGTAATGACAATTTGGTCCAGTGTCTGCATAACGATTTCATAAGCACAAATAACAAAGAGAGCTTGGAGTAAGAATCCAATTGAATTTGTGGAATTCAGCTTGCCCAGGCATATAAATACATAAAATAGGTATAAAAATCAAACATTTACTGATAATAAACCAGCATTTGCAAGGCTTCCTAAACAGGGTGGTTTTCTCTTTTTTATGAAGTTTAGCTGAAAATTATTATTATTATTATTATTATTATTATTATTATTATTACTATTATTAAATTAGTATATATTTAGTAATGTTTGGGGTTGTGATAACACAGCAACCCCAGGTTAAACCACTAGCTGCAGAAAATTTGCTGACCAAAAGGTTGGCAGTTCGAAGCCACCAGTTGGGGTGATCTCCCGACTTTCAGCCCTACCTTCTGCCTACCTAGCAGTTTGAAAGCATTCAATGCAAGCAGATCAATAGGTACCGCCTTGGCAGGAAGGTAAAAGGGCACCCCATGCAGATATGCAGACATGCCGGCAGCACAATCTGAGATGTCCATGGACAACAGGCTCCTCAGCATGGAAAAATGGAACAAGAGCACCTCCCCATGGCTGGAGTTGAGCATTGCCTCCAGATGCGAGAGATGGAAAAAGGGGAAGGCCTTTCCCTTTGTCTGTGTTGTATGTTGTTGTTCACTGTGTGTTGTGTATTGTAATCCTCTCTGCATTATCTCCGGGGAGATAAACCGGAATATAAATAAAGTGTATTATTATAATTATTATATTTATTTTTATTATTATTATATTTCTTGCAGAGTCCGCACTGTAAACACTGTATGTTGTTGCTAACAGAGTTGTGTAAATGGGTGACACACGGAAACCTACAGTGAGCTACCAAGGGGACCCCATTTCGGTTTGGGACCCACAGTTTAAGAAGTGCCCTAACACACATGCAGAATGAGATCTTGAGGAATGTGATAGGAGACAGCTTTGGAAAAAGAACTGTATGTCAGCAGCCAGACTCTGATATAAGTCTGACAGCTGTGGGGAGGATGTGGGTCTGTATTGAAAGAGTAATGAGCTGTCATCAAAAAAACAAAAACTTGAAAATAGAAAATATGTGACCACCATCCAGTGGCCTCTTTATAACTTCAATTGTAGCTGTTTGATGGACTGCGTTGGTAGTAAATAAGTTTGAAAGCTATGAAAGCTGTTGATTCTCCTCCAGTTCGAATATTTTTACTTTTTACTTTACTAATACTTTTCTGTGCCATTATTATTTCTGTTATTAATTAATAATAAATAATAATATTCCACTTTTTCCTCTAAAAAAGAGACTTAAAGCGGCTTACAGTAAAAACAGTACAATACAATTTACAACCTAAAAGTATACAAACATAGGTTTCTGTGACTTTGTGTAAACCATGCAAACTGGCGCTTTTGACGTCTCTCTCCCTATGGAGGAAGAGCAGACTGCAGAATGGCCTGTTACTTCTAGTTTTCATTTTCTTTGAAATTTTAATGTATGTTTTTATATCTTGGGAATACAAAAGAAACTGAAAGGCTCAAATGGAGTAGAAGAGGTGTAAAGTGACTAGCAACATAGACCTGAATTTTGCAGTCTGGGAGGTATTGCCTCTTCGCAGCTGTTTAATGGTGATTAATCAATGAAAATAAAGTTATATTAATTTAATATAAAATGGGATTCTGTACTGCTTTCTGGAAGTAAAAGTAGGTACAATCCTCCATAAAGTCCTTTACAAAACGCACTTGAAACAGTAGTGGCAATTATATATAATTTGCCACTTTGTCCTAAATCTTCATACTTACAAGCAATATTTCATATATTTGCCAAAGTTTGACACTACTAGGACTGAAACAATACTTATGGTATTCTGATCACTCTAAAATCACTTTTTCCAGGAAGTGGATGATTTCTTTGAACAGGAAAAGACTTTTCTCATAAATTACTACAACAGAATCAAGGAAGCATGTGCCAAGGCAGATAAGATGACAAGATCTCATAAAAGTATGTGTTTGTCTTTTTAAATCTATTAAGTCACTTCCTTAAAAGTTTTTCTCAAGTTTGCAAGGAACTGAAATATTTGTGCATTCTTTCTCATTAGATGTTGCAGAAGATTATATACATACTTCAGCTGCCTTCAGTAGCTTGGCTCAGGAAGAGCCAACTCACCTTAAGAAGTAAGTTCACGTTATTTTAGGTTTTTTTCCAAAATACTCTAGCAAAATTCTCAGATTTTGTACAGTGAATAAGTTGGTTTGGATTTAATTTCTGATGTCTTTATAGTAATGAGGCATAGGAGGTTGTTAAACATTAAATTGACATTCAAAATGTAAAACTGGAAAACAGTATTAAAAATTAAGGAAAAGTTAAACATGGGAATTGGTAACTTCTCTTTGGTCTCCTTGCAACTTCTATTGGCTTCGTGCTATTTCCGTATATTGTGCTCCACCTTTCCTCCTTGTTTCTGTATTTCCTATTGCTTTTGTTGCCAGTATTTTCAATTGCCTTTTTATCTAATTTCTATCTTTGGCTTCACTGAAGATTTGATTTCCCCAACTTTGAGTTGCCTCAGTCCCTTGCTCATACTTCACTATATTCATACTTATCCTCATATAAAGTTCTTACTTTGTATATTGACTAAACAATGCAGAAACAATTCTGTCTGTTCGGTGTGCTCATACCAAATAATAATAATAATAACAATAGTAAAAAAAAAACAAAACATGGATGTAGCTCACAAATGGAACTTTAAAAAAGGAGACGGAGGGTCTGATTCTTGCAGCCCAAGAACAAAAAATCAGAACAAATGCCATCAAAGCCAGAATTGAAAGTTGACAACAGATTTCAAGTGTAGACTCCACTGGAACTTGTGCCACAAATACCATGTGCATGTTACAAAAACTGGTAGGATCACAAGCCTGAAAAAGTTATACAAAATGAGCACGTTGAACTACTCTGGGACTTCCAAATTCAGACTGACAAGAGTTTTGGAGCACAATACTCCTGACCTCATGATCATGAAAAAAAAAAACGATGTATGCATCATCAATGTTGCAATCCCAGGCAACAGCAGGATTGATGAGAAGCAACTGGAAAAGCAGACATGGTACAAGGGTTTAAAGATCGAACTGCAAAGACTCTGGCACAAGCCAATAAAGGTGGTCCCAGTGGTGCTCGGCACACTGGGAGCAGTGCCTAAAGACCTTGGCCAGCATTTAAAAACAATCAGTGCTTACAAAATTACCAGCTATTAGCTGCAAAAGGCTACCGAACTTGGATCTGCACACATTATTCACCAATACATCACATAGTCCTAGACACTTGGGAAGTATTCGACATGTGATCCAATCCAACAGCCAGCATCTTGTATGCTGTGTACTAATCTTGTGTATCAAATGATGATGGTGATGATGATGATGATGTTAGCAGTAACCAGCAAATAGGTACAAACATACCATAAATATCCCGTGTTACTTAACTGGATCATAAAATGTAAGCACTTCTTTACCCATTTGTTCTCTGCATTTTAGAACATCAGTTTTCCTCACTATTGTATCCTTGCCCATTTTTTTCTATCTGAATCCTGATTTTCTAAGGCAAATATTCTGTCTTCTTTCTTTGTTCTTTCCTGCCTTGTTTTGTTCTTTCCTCTTGTACTTGCAGAGGTGATGTGCATGGTGTCATCTCAGAAAGAGTGCATTGAAATGTATTGCTATCTGTCACAAAGCTTTGCCATGTAAGCAGCAGATTAGATAAATTCCCCAGATTTTCTGTTTAATGGGTTGTGGCGTGGGTAGCAGCTTCCATTAATCACAGCATGGGATGACCACGCTTTCTTATAGTTCTGTGTCTCTCTCTCCTCTGGTCTCTGCTTTGGGATCTCTGTTCTCGTTCTTTCATCCTTCCATTTGTGCCATAATAACTTGGCAATCTTTTAAAATAGATAGTTCTGTTCAAACATATGACACAGAGCGAGCAGTTGTCCAAATGTTGTTAGTTAGAGGGACCTCAAGGGCCATCTCATCCAGCCTTCGATTGTTGCAGGGTATCAGTTGTTGAAGTAGTAATGTTTGTATGACTGCAGGTTTTGGGAGATAAAGTCAATGTTTTCTTCTTCTTGCCCTCTTTCTCTCCAGGTATTTGCTGAAAATTGCTGAACTCTTTGAGAAACTCAGGGTAACTTCATTTCATTTACTAAATATTTCTACCTCACCCCCCTCCCAATAGTTGATAGGTCTTATTCTTATGAAACCCATACGGGCTTCCTTTCTAAATACTTACAGTTCACCAGTCAGACTGTGAAAGATTTTGGAGTTAAATTCAAACTGACAACAATAAAATGCTGGAGATGAGTGGTTTATTACTTCTTTCCACAATCCTAAAAAGACAGTTCTAAAGTTTTCCCACTCAGACCTCCTGTATACACGGTATCAGCCCCAACTCCCATCCACTCCCTAGTGGCCAAACACTGTGCCCACAGTCTATTTCCCTCACAAAACAGTTGTCTTATCTACACTATCTTCCCCAACTGTACCCAGGCTCCTCCCCCCCCTTTTATGGCAGAGAACCGAAGCAGCCAATCCCAGGCTGATACGATGATCCTGTTATCACCAATATAACCTTGAAGAATGTAATATGTCAGCCATCGTTTCAGATACAAGTCCTCTAGCACCACTTCCTTGAATTGATCTTCTAGGAATTATCAAGCTAATTGTAACAATGCTTAGATGATTGATTTAAAAGGGTTACTATAGCTGACAACACTAACACTGAAGAATAGTAAAGCTAGTCCTATCTAGTTATCAATTTACGCCACTGAGCAGTGCAGCTGAAGCTGTTTCCATTTTTAAACCACGCCTAAAGACAGATTGAAGTGGACTGTTTGTGCAATTTACCCCCTTATTTTTTAAAATTGTGTCTTTAAAAAAAGATGCTTCGTTCACTATATGGACATTTTAAATGTTAATTCGTATAACACTGTATAACATGATTTTTGTTCCTGGGTTAGAAATTGTTCTATGATAAAAACATGGAAAAATTATTAAACTGCAAAACAAAGACATCCTACAGCACATTTCATTATAGTTTTTCAATGTATACCTCTTAGAGTCTCAGCCAATTCGACATAATTTGTGGCAGGCACAAAAACAAAAGCTAGTGCTGCACAATTAAACAGGAATAACACTTTCAAACCAGGAAGAGGTTTTTTTCTTCAAATTTTGTTAAATAGCATAATTAATGCAGCTAGTAATTCTGTCATTTTCTCCATAGAAAGTCGAGAATCGTGTTTCTTCTGATGAAGATTTGAAACTATCAGAGTTACTAAGATACTACATGCACAATATAGAAGCGACAAAGGTGAGTTCTCTCTAAGGGCTCTTTGATGCTTTGAGAAGAAGAGGTTAAGTTAACTTAAAAAGTCAACAGATAATACCTTCAGTTTTTGAAAAATACAAAAACTAGTCAGTAAAATGACAAATACTGCAATAAAATGAGAAAAAGATCTGAAATAATAAATGTTAAGAGCAGCAAAAAACTATTTTCTATAAACTTCAAAGCATAAAGGTGAAGCTAAATGACTCACAAAAAAATTGAGCTTCTGAAAATAGATTTTATATTAGTATGTCCTCCTTTTCATCCATCATGGAACTCAGAATGACAAACATGCAATTTACTACACTTCAGCAAGTTGGCTGTGTCCTGTGTCTTCACACCATCCCTTTGAAAGTGCATCTCTTCTTATAGCAAACTTAAGAAAATAATTCTCAGTTAAATGATAAAACACATTTGAGAAGCATTTAAGGCACTATCTTTAGAAACTGAAATATTTGTTTTTACATGGCAAAAGCAAATTGAACTTTTGATTGCTCACCAAACAAAATGTCCTGATGAAGATCGACGCCGTCCCATATTAGTATATCACATGACTAAATTTATTGCTGAGTATGTGTGAAATATTTTCCAGTAAACTCATATCTGTCTTTATCCATTCATGTAAACATCACCAATAATGGTTTCTGTAATTAGGTCGAATGCAAAATGATAGATGTACCTCAGATCATGAACACAGGAGTGTTGTTGCCTTCTTCAGTAGTTCTGATATATCTTGGAATGCTTTCTGATTAGAATATATTTGTGTGTGTGTGTGTGTATATATACACACATATATATTTCACAAATATATACACACATATTTATTTATTTATTGTTTGCAATATTTGTATACCACCCTTTTCAACCCCAAAGTTCACAAACACACACAAGTCAAAATATGTCTGCATGTTTGTTGGTTGGTTTGTACCTCAAAGGCTTCTACATGGCTTGATGAATCTGGACAACACCTGGCCCTTCATTACCCAATTTAAAATAACAATAAGATTTAAACTACAAAATCAACTCTGTTGGGGGCAAGGGCCCCAAAAAGTTAAAAAATAGCCATATATTGATAGAAAGGACTAGCTACTGACCTGTGAGTAAGTAGGTACACAGTGCTCAGATGCAGCCATGACAGGGCAGTATACAGATAGAAAGGATTAGTTACTGATAAACAAAATGCCCATACCATGAAACCTATAAGAGTCCTGAAGGTCACAGTGGGGACATCCAGAATTTAATAAAGATTTATATTTAAAAAGCTCTGAGGCTGAGAGACTGACTTTCAAGAAAGGTTGAGATGAAGGAAGTAAAAGGAAAGGGAGAAGGGAATAAGGGAAAAAAGAATGAAAGGACAAAAAAGGAGGGAAATAAGAAAAAGCAGAAAACACAAAGGAAGAGGATGGAAAGAATGAAGAGAGGAGAAGGTGTATGGGGGAAAGCTATGGAAGAAGGAAGGGAGGATAGAAAGAAAGAAAAGGAAAGAGGTACAAGATGTATGGGGAAAATGAAGGAATAAAGGAGCCACAAAGAAAAGGCAAACCTGGGCAATGGTGGGTATTTCTATTTTGAATATATTTCTATATATACTAGTAGTGATAGTAAGTAGAAAATAAAACATAATTTTGGATTAAATATTTTCTGTCTGAAAATAAACAATTTTCTTCTGTTACCGGATTATTTTAGGATCTGTTACATAGACGCACACGGGCTCTTTCAGACTATGAACATTCAAATAAAGCATTGGATAAAGCTAGGTTGAAAAGCAAAGATGTAAGATTGGCGGAAATCCAACAACAGGAGTGCTGTCAGAGATTTGAAAAACTTTCTGAATCTGCAAAACAAGGTAAAGCTCATCATGCTAAGAAGATCCTCTTCTACGCTGTACATTTTTTGTGATCATACATGCATTGTAATACAAATACATAAAGTGTACCAGAGTGCTTCTCATTCTCCTGTGATGGGCAGAGGATATCCTCAGGCAGGTTGTCCCTCCCATTCACTCCAACAGGCAGGTTCTTTGACCAATGGGAGAAAGGGCTAACTCCCCCCCCCTTCTGTAGAAGGGCAGTCCCGCGATCCCCCAGTTTAATGTCCGCTTCTGCTCTGTCTCTACTCTCCAAGATTCTCATTTCTCTTCATTTTCTCACTACCATTTCTAGCTACAAAAAATCCTTTTTTCTTTCTTTCTACAATTCTTTCTTTCAACCTTTACTCTAGCTCTCTCTCCGCTTCCTTTCCCCTGGAAGAGCCAAGGCCATGAAGAGGAAAGGAAGCAGTCCGGGTTTGATGGGGGACTCCATGTCCCATCCTTCAACCCAGCATGACTTGGGAACTGCCACAGGTGAAATCCACTTCCAGGTGGGCCATGCTGCAGTGTGGAAGGAGGTTGCTGCTGACCTGTGCTTGCTGTGGTGAGTCAAATGCATAAGTGAACCCCAGAGAGAGAGTCTGGACTATGCCATCAGGGGTGAGTGAGACCAGGGCCTTGGTTTCTCCCATCCCCCTTCCCAGTGTGGCAGACCTCTATGACAGAAGAGCTGCCACTTAGATCAAAGTGATGGGCTATTCACCCACATCAGTTTCAAGCCAGGAGAGGAACTGAGCCAAGAGGAACCGGGGAGAATGAGGAGCTTTTTCCTCCTGAAGCTATAATAAAGGGGATCCAGAGGATGGGAGAGTACCAGCCACTCAGTGAGGGAAATACATGATGGTTGCCACTTTTCGAGGACATAGAGAGGACAGGGAATTTGCCATCCTGGGGCACAAGCAGGCCATGGCGCCTCTTCTCTCACTGCCTCTTATACACTCCTGCAAACACCACCATACTTTCTAGTCAGACTAGACCTACTCAGCCCACTCTTCAGCCAAGGAGACTGACAGCAATGTACTCTCATCTTCCGAAAAGGAGAAACATGACCTTTCAGAGGATGAGTGGAAGGAGGAGCCCTCTACATTAAGGCTCTTCAATCCCAATACTTCCTTCTGAAGTTCAGCACAACACTTAGAATGCTATCCTAGAATTTCTCGGGCCCTCCTATACAGCTACTAGATCCATATCTTCATCTTCAGGATTTCTAAACAAGCCAACCAGGGTCTCCTTTATGACATGGCTCTACTTAACTATTTTATGTCAGTAATTAGCAAAGAAAATGAGTAAAATCAGTCTCCTCCAATAATTCCAGCTCATGTGCAATAAAGCTTTAGACTCTACCTAAAAAGATGGTGACCGTACAGTCTTATGGTTGCCTTCAAAGGGCTGTTGAATCCATGGAGGGAAAATTTGAGCATACAGAGAGCCAGCTGTAATTTTTTTAAACATTGTAATTTTTACCAAGTTTAGGTCACTGGATGTTATTTTTGATAATCACTTTTGATTATCTGCCATGTGGACTATGGGTAATGAAAATTGCAACTCTACAACACTTGTGGCTCTGAGGTTGGGGAAAGGTTAAGAACATTTCAGAGTCAGGCATCACACCCACAAGTCTTTTACTAAATCCAAACCCCACTATTCAAACCCCACATCCCTTTTAGGCTGCCCTGAGTCCCTTCGGGGAGATGGAGGCAGGGTATAAAAATAAAGTTATTATTGTTATGTTATTATTATTATCTCGACTGAATAGAACAAACTACAGCCTTCCACATGTTAATGCATCACAAGTCCCATCAGCTATAATCATGTCTCATGAAAAAGAAGTATGAGAATTGTTATCCAGGACATGAAGGGCCATACACAATGACATGGGTGGCCATATTTGGCCCACAAGCCTTAAGTTTGGCACATGTGCCTTAGATCTACACCGGGGCCCAACCGTTTAGCAGGCAAGGTTCCTCTCAGACCAGAGGGAGCAACAGTCTCCTGCAGTACATAGCTTGGGTGAATCTTGCCACAGAATGTCTTCTACTCACTACAGCAGTGATTCTCAACCTGTGGGTCCCCAGGTGTTTTGGCCTACAACTCCCAGAAATCTCAGCCAGTTTACCAGCTGTTAGGGTTTCTGGGAGTTGAAGGCCAAAACATCTGGGGACCCACAGGTTGAGAACCACTGCACTACAGGAACATTGACACTTATTATGAGATGGCCACTCTCTGTAGTGAGTAGAGGTCATTTCTGACCCTCCTATCTGCTTGGCATCATCCTCCTCAGAGGGAAGAAGAGGTGTTCCCTTGAACCCTTCCGTAAAGACATCTAATGTTTTGTTTTTCCATTCATCTGCTCTTCTTGTCTCAACCTAGTCTTCACTGGCACAGTTCAACTTGCAAAGGGAAGCATTCTTCATCTTCTGGGCATTAGTCTGGGTGATCATGGAAGAATTAGATCTTTTTTCCTATTGGTCATGGAGCTTGCCTATCGAAATGTGTGAGAGAGATAACCCACGTTAGACCATCCTTTGCTTATTACAGAGAATTCCATCTCACATAAGTGTCAATGTTTTTATTTCATGTTCTGACTTGTCTATTTGAAATAATGAACTCTGGTTAATGATACACAAAGAAGTAATCATGTATGGGTGTATTGGTGAGTGGGGATCATTAACATTTTGTGGCTCCACCGCCTAGTGATTGAAAAGATAGTAAATAGTAAGTGATTGATGGGGCATCCTTAAATTGTAGGTATAATCTCAAACTAGTATGAGATAGGATATGGGAGCCTGGCTACAATTAGGACAGGATAACGTATCAATTTCACTTAGGATCCTTCTTCCACTATAATTTGAACTCCAAAACTATTAAAATGTAATGTCCAGCCTGCTTTTTTCTGCTTTGAATGCCATGTTATCCAAGTGCATATGTCAGTGTTTAAAGGATGGTTACTAGATGTTAAATCGATAGTCTGTTTTTAAACAATACAATACAAAATTGGAAGGGGGAATTATAACAGTAGTGCCAAATTACTGGTATTTTTCCAGATTTCACAGTTTTGCAAGCTCCTTTCTTATTCAGGGAGCAATATATTGTGAACCCTCCAGATCTGCTGTTTCAGAGGCATGATTTCCACTATTTATTTGGGTTGCTTCTACCCCGCCCTTCTCAACCCCCTAGGGGGGACTCAGGGCGGATCATCATATCCTATACACCATCATATCCTATACATAAAATGGCAAAATGAACACAGACATGCTAAAGCATCTGAACATACCACCACCATTTAATAATACAGGACACAATTCGTTACTTTACTGGAGGATCCACTGTATTGGTTTTGTTTTCCTTTTGAAAAGAAGCCAAAGGCTTTGGGAAAGATCGCTGAACGCATGACCTTTTGCATGCATTGGTTTGGTGCAGACATACAGGTGTTAGTTCAGGGTCAACATAATGTTGCATGTAGGCTGCATGTCCCCACAAGAGATTTTTTTAAATAGCCCCTTTCTTGCAAAACAAAAGCTTTGGGAAAGGATATGTCACTTTTTCAGCTCCTGAAGGCCTTGAGGAGCAGCAATTGGGCTTGCAGAGGTTGAAGGACCTTCTAGGCTTGCTAATTTTTTACTCAAATCCAAAAGCAAAACTAGAACCACTTCCAGTGAACTACTACTTTTGTTACTATAATTTAGCCTTTTTCTATTTTAGAGGTTGTACAGCCTGTTGAGCAACAAAAATGTGCCAGAAGTCTCCTCTTCAACATAGATGGAAATACATAGTTCAATGTTCCTATAAGCAGCAGTCTCCCAACAGATTCCCGATCTCTTAAGAACACCATTCTCATCATATGTGTGTTTTCTCTCAATGACAGAACTGAACAACTTCAAACAGAAGCGAGTCGCAGCATTTCGTAGAAATCTAATTGAAATGACTGAGCTCGAGATCAAACACGCAAAGGTATATGCTCAAAAGCAAAACTTGCAGTAACAGGCTATCCTAGTTGTGTTTCAAGTTATTATTTCTTTCTATTTCTAATGGAAGAATTATCCAAGCAGAAAATGGATAAACAATGAAATAACTTGAGCTCAAGTTATTTCATTGTTTATCCATTTTCTGCTTGAATAAAGAAAATCAATAAAATGATAAAGAAAATCAATAAAATCCCACATTCCAGTTAAAACCATAACCTCCTCCCCATGTATCCCTTCTCCATCCCAATCATAAAATCCCCAACTCCTGCCATGGCTCAATTAAAGACCTTGTTAAATAAGAGAGTCTTCCTAAAGCTGAGCAGAGATGGAGCAGCCCTTTGTTCTTCAGTGAGAGAGTTCCAAAGGAGCCTTCTCTAATTATGCATACTGGTGGGGGCTCGCATATTGATTCAAGTTTCCCTGCTTGATCAGAGGGATATATTGGGGGACAGGGTGCTCCAGATAGGCTGGACCGAAGCCGTATAGGACTTTATAAGTGATGACCAGCACCTTGAATTTAGCCCAGAACCAGAGAGGCAACCAATGGAGCTGCTTCAGAATAGGCATGGTATGTTCCCCTGAAGTTAGCACCCATCAGAAGTCTGGCTGCTGCTCACTGAACAAACTGCAATTTCTGGACGCTTTTCAGATCTATGTAGAGCGCATTGCAGTAGTCCAATCTGGATGTAACTAATGCCTGCACCTCTGAGGCCAGGTTCATAGCGTCCAAGAATTGACGCAGTTAGTGTACAAGCTTTAGTTGTGTGAAGGTCAACCTAGTCACTGCCGCCACCTGGGCTTTTAGGTTTAAAGTGGAGTCTAGGATGACCCCCATACTGCTCACCTGAGATTTCCGGGGGAGTGCAAGCCCATCCAGCTCAGATTGAAATCCCTCCTCCAAGACACCAGTAGTGCCTCCATCTTGTCTGTATTGAACTTCAACTTGTTCACCCTCATCCAGTCCATCACTGCCTTCAGACAATAGTTCAGGGGCAGGACCACTTCCTTGGCATCAGGTGAAAAGGAGTAGTAGAGTTGGGCATCATCCACATACAGATGATACTGAACTCCAAAACTCCAGTATCTCTTCCAGAGTAGATGTTAAATAATATTGGGGATAAAGATAAAGCCCTGTGGGACCCCACAGCCCACCGGCCATGAGGTCAAGCAGGACTCCCCCAACATTATAGGTCATAATCTAGGACATAATCTAGGACTGGTCCGTGAGGAAGGAAATGAAAAACAAATCTGTAATGTGAAAAGGAGTCTTTGCAATAATATCCTATTAGTCAATGCAATGTAATTTAGTTATGAAAGTCCCATTGCGTTGCTGTCCTTTGCGTGGCTGAGTTCTATATGTCCAAACTGGACTAGGCCGTTTAGAAAATTCTGATGAATTCTTAAATAGAAGGTCATGGGTAGATAGATGTTGTCAGAGTGCAGCTACCATCATCCGTATCATTAGTGATGGTGGCTGAAGCTGATTGAAGTTGTTGTCCACAAGTTGTTGCTTTGAGATGTCGTTGACCTTTTGGCACTTCATCATAAACAAATTTTGTTCAACAAGATAAATACATCAAATGATGTAAGTCGAACATGTATTAATTTTTCTAAGGGCATCCTGTTGGTTCAGTGGGTTAAACCACTGAGCTGCTGAACTTGCTGACTGAAAGGTTGGTGGTTTGAATCCAGGGAGCGCGGTGAGCTCCTGCTGTTAGGCCCAGCTTCTGCCAACCTAGTAGTTCAAAAACATGCAAATATGAGTAGATCAATAGGTACTGCTTCTGCGGGAAGGTAACAGCGCTCCATGCAGTCATGCTGGCCACATTACCTTGGAGGTGTCTATGGGCAACGCTGGCTCTTTGGGAGGGGGTACTCATCTCCATTTCTAAGTCAGAGTCAGACATGACTAGACTTAATGTCAGAAGAAACCTTTACCTTTATTCATTTCTCTGGTCTTTCTTGCATGCTGACTTATTGTGTTTTGTTTTCCAGAATAGTGTTTCTCTTGTCCAAAGCTGCATTGAAGTGTTCAAGAACAACTGACTCCATCTTTGTTTTACTGTGAGGCTGGTGGAAAGTCCCCCAATAACTGCGGTCACTTAACAGCCATATGGGTGTTCTTTTTCTAACTTTGTTTCTTTAAAATAACTTTTTTGGCTCCAAAGTTAACTATCCTGGCACTAATGATAATTAATATTGAATGTAAAAAATGTATCACATATAGATTTGCTTGAAATGCAACTAACACTGTGTAAATTCATCAAGGGGAGCAAAAAATATGCATATTGATAATGGAAAAAAAATTGTATCAGAAACTGGCTTCTGAAAAAAAAAATGTTTAGCCTGAAATGGAGAGTATGTAGTGGAGAGACTCAAGATTGCAATCTCTTGTGCTCTTTGCTGTAAATCAATCATGATTCCTAAATTCTCAAGCTATACTTGTAAGTTGCTACAGCAAATTCTTCTACTATTTTATAAGGAAGTTCCTTAACCTTCCATTTCATACCCTTCCCTTACAGAGTATTTTCAATTCAATGTTTGTATGCTTTTGAATGATGCAAAAATAAAGATGCCTACTCATTGTGCTATTCTTGATTTAATACTTTTGAACAGCACTTAATTCATTAGGGGTCCTCTCATTTTTTTAAATCATGCCTTTTTGTGAGTGAATCATAGCAGGTAGATGACTATTTGTACTTGTAAGTATGTTAACAGTATGGTTTGCTTTAACTTGCTGGAGAACTTTAGGATCACAACTAAGATTGGCGCAGCTTGGGGACTCTGTATGGGAGGATTGTCAGGAATATATTGGCAAACTCACCACTGGCCCTACTGATGCAGCTTGTGGTGGCGAAGGAGCCAAAACTTAAGTAGTCCACAAAAGATTGTGTTACCACTAATTGATTAATCCTGAATTGCCACGAGACTTTGTGGTGCAGCTGGTTATTATGGATAACTTTCTAAAATTAATCTCCTTGGTCAATTGCAGGTCCTATCATGAATTACCTTTCAAGCATAGGTTCTTTTTATTGCAATTTCCAGTGTAAGAGGGTAGATCAGATTACAGAAAACAGACAAAGAATGACATTGGACATACAGATTCTATGCAGCTATATTGTATGTATAACAACTTACAGTTACATTGGACTAACAAACAGACAAAGGGGAATTACATTTTCACTCAGCATTCACACCATATGTACACGCATTCATCCTCAGGCATTCAAATATTACCATATCATTTTCCCCCTCCTTGGAGAAGCACCTGTTAGGCCAGACCCTGCTTCCCTGCAGTCTGCCAATGTATAGTTCTAAAACTTCCATAACTTAAAAAAGCCAAAACTTCTTCCCTAAGCACAATGCCAAGGACCAGATCTCTGTTTTCCATACAATAGAACCTGACTCCCTGCACAAAATCTAAGGCTCCAAAAGCGCACTTCGTCCTCTTCCCTTGAGAAAGAAGCCCCAAAGTGACCAGACTGCTGCCATGCAAATCTACTATCCATAGGTACACTATCTCTCTCCTTCCCATGGAGCAGAGCATAGTGGGTGGAACAGACTCCTCAGGTCTGCCACACTTTAAGCATTATTAGACTGAGTCTTCTATAGGAATATTCTACTGATGTTGACCCAAAGTTGTAAATTAATGATAGATGTCTTCCATCCTGGCTCCATCTCAGTTTCCTGGCCAGATGTTGATCTTCTTGATTGGTGTTGATCTTATGTTGACTTTCTTCTTAACATAAGGAATGTTGCAAACATTCTCTTAACTTGAAAGAACTGTTGTCACAGTTCTTATCAGAGTTTCCTTTTCACTTCTTATTAGCAGATTTTAATCACAGTCCAGAAAGCAGGTAGTTATTGCAGGCCTTAATATTTTACTGGTGTCTCCAAAATTATTAACTCCACTCATACAACTTCCATTCTTCCATTCATTCCCATATATCATATTAAATTCACATTTATCAAATCTGCACATTGAATTTCTTATCAGTCCCAACCCTCAACTAGGACATAAAATCATTCTACTGGCAAAATAAGTAGTGTAAATCAAACACTTCTTTGAAGCTGACAGGGCTGACTTTTGCCTCTCTTCTCTACTTCACATTTGAGCCATATATCCATAGTAAAGCACTGGTTGTAGATCTGGCCAGGTTCCTATTGCTGCTTGTCACATGAAATAAATAAACTAGGTTATGCTTTGAAATGGCATGGCATGGCCCCATATTGTGTTCTGTTGCATTGATACAAGCAAGAACTGTGTTGAAAGAGAATTTTGGATACATGGTTTGGCCATGGAACAAAAAGGAACCAGCAGTTTGTCAAAAACAGTGCTGATGTTCTATCTTGGAATTCAAAATACATGTTCTTTCAAGAGCAAGTACAATTATTCATTCAAATTGGAGTGAAAGAACATCTACTTTTGACCTGTCTTGTGGTCCTTCTAAGTCTTTATCATCTTCTTAATCTTGCAGTCAGGTGGTTAAATTTAACAGACTTCTGTAGTGACTTACTAGCTACTAAAGAACCTGCTAAGTTCACCAAAGAACTGTAAATCAAGCAACAAAAGTGTTGTCATTAAGATACTGAGGGGCTATATTGCCAGTTACCAATTTTGGCTCATCCATCTTCTATAGAGAGTTAACTACGCTTGCACAATAATAATATTGTGAAGACCAAGATGAAAATATGTGTATATGTGCCTTCAGGTCACCTGTTGACTTATGGTAATTCCATTAATTTCAGGAGGTTTCCTAAGGCAAGAAATACTCGGATGTGGTTTTGATGAGGGAAGTGTGTCCAGATGTTTTAGACGTCAACTCCCACAATTGCTAACAGCTGGAGTTGAAATCCAAAACACCTGGAATACCCAAATTTGCCCATGCCTGTTCTATATTCTGCACAGAAACTCGGTTTTATAATATATTTCTGCAATTGAATCTGAATCCCACTTCTGTAACAACACCTATAGAGTTAAGTGAGGCGATGAAATAACAAGCCCCAAGGTTCAACTGCTGCAAATTTTCCCCTTGAAGGTGTCATTTGAATGATGAATAACATATTTTCTCACAATATTTTCTAAGTATTTAATAATGTACATTGTTCAGTTTTGCCCCAAGAATAGCCTTAAAACCAAGTTTAAAGAAGCTCAAAAAGCTTTACTTCAGCAAAGTTTAAAGTAGCAAACTCACATTAACAACAGTAATTTCACAAAAGGCAAGTTCACAAAACAAGACAAAAGTATCTTGGCTGAGCAAAGTCTTTGGTAATTTTCTTCTCCAGGCAACAAACACTTACAAAGACAAGGTTTCTGGCTGGCACAAATACAGGATCAAGGCTAGAGGGAGCGGTTGCTGTCAGCGACAGCTGTTTCCTCTACTCCTGATTTATAGCCTTCAGCCCACAGCACATGTATCTAGGAGGTAGTCTGATTGCTGAGAGTCTTTTCAGCAATCCTGGCTGACCTACGCATTGCTTGTTGCTCCCTTCGACATTCTTGAAAAGTAGGAACAACCAATGTTCTCCTTCATCTACCTCCTGAGCAGGCCTGAACATCTGCCCAGAATCCTCAGCCCCTTCCTCAGGCAGAAGAGGAAGACTTAACATGCAGAAGAGAAGCTCCACATCCAGGTAAAATTTCTGGGTGGATTTGGGTACTCCATGCTACTATTACAGTTAACCATGCCAACTATTACAGCTGGAAACATTTGTGGGTTTCATTATTTACAGATTGTTCCAATATGTTCTCTGTAGGAATCCCAAGATCCTCTGGTGAAAGTTAACCATAGAATTTAGCTGGACAACTTAGATACTCCTAGGAAGAACGCTTCTCTAGGCATTTCAGGACCCTCCAGTGGTAGAAATGGACAAAAGAGTCAGGCTGCAGGACTAAGACATTCTTAGAGAAGTTTTCTCTCAGATTTGAAAAACAGGATTTTTTAAAAAATCACATTTCTCCCTTCTTTTTTGGAGGTCTTTTACCCCCTAAACTAAACTAATGTGGAGGGCCCATATACTGTGGTCATCCCCTTTTCTGAATGATTGGCAGAGTCCATTCAGCTTTATCCTCTCATAGGGAGAGTCTTTTCTTCCTTCTTCAAACAATCCCATGGGTCTACAGACCAGTTGAATCTTTCTACACTACTATCAAGGTTCACAGATTCCCTATATGACTGTATTCTTAGAACCCATATTACTTTTTACAACATTCATACTCCTGATCCCAATTTTTGGAATGGTCCATCTATAAATTTAATGGACTTTAATTATTTACCTGTCTATACAACAGGTAAATGTTTTGTAGGGTAAAATATTTCCCATATTGAACATAAAAAAGATGTGCAATGGATAGGAAAGCTAAGGGGAGGCAGCCTGACCAATCTGCATTGTTTTGTCACACATTACAAACACAATTGTTACTGTTGCATAGCTGAAGGTTTGTCTGTATACAGCATCCCCAAGCATTTTGGGAGATGGTTAGTCTTCCTTCTGCCATGTGGATACCAGGTAGAGGAACAAGAAATGAGCAGGTGAGAAGATCCTTTAAATAACATACTGATTTTGACTAATATGGTTTAGTGCAGGGGTCCTCAAACTTTTTAAGCAGAGGGCCGGTACACAGTCCCTCAGGCTGTTAAGACGTTGGATTATAGTTTGAAAAAACTCGAACAAATTCCTTTGCATGCTGCACATATCTTATTTGTAATCCAAAAAAATGAAAAAAACAATACAATATTTAAAATGAAGAACAATTTTAACCAACATAAACTTACTAGTATTTCAAGCATGAGTCTGCTTTGGGCTGATGAGATAGTCAAGTTAATAAGGTTTTTGTGTACCTTTGTTTCAGACTTAGGACAACCCTAAGTCTAAAGTTTAGGGTAGGAGCTGGGTAAATTACCATGGTCCACAGGCCTTAGTTTGGGTACCCTTCGTTTAGTGGATTGAATATTACTGGATGGCTCTTGTGTGCTTTTGAGTAGTTTCGTACTTATGGCAACCCTAAGTTCTCTCATTTAGAAGATTATCTTGGCAGTATTTGTTTAGCTATGACATGCCATTGCCTTCCTCTAAGACTCAGAGAGTCTAACTTCCTTAAGTTTCAGCCTGTGGAGGGGATCTGCTTGCACTGTTTAGGGACACTTAGTTTAGTGGATAAATTATTTTTTTAATTTACCCATATTTTATCGCATAAAAGTCCCATTGTGTAATAGCCGCATCCCCATTTTGGTGTGGCAAAATTGGTATTTTTGTGTTCCTCACATAATAGTCTCAGAGCCATTTGAGGCTGATTCCTTCATTAAGTGGAGTCAATTCTACAGTTTATAAATACTTTATAAAGACTTGATGATAATGAAGTCAAACAGAGTATAATAAAGAATCAGAATGTTTTGTGCAAGTAATGAAAATTTGCTCTAGTTTCAATGGTTTCTGTAGATTTAAAATTGTGCCTAGTCCTGAAAAAATGATGAATACCGAATAGTGCTCAATTTTCTTCAAAACTTTGACTAGTTAAGGCTGAAAAATATTCCTACTCCTATGACACTGTCATGTCTGGTGGGATCTTCTTTCTCTTTGACAGTTTTGCAGCATATTAATTTCTGTATTAGAAAAAATAGTTCATCTTTAAAGAATGTTGTGTCTTCTCAATTTTATCTACATGATTTAGGTTTAAACTCAATTGTTATACCCAACCAGAGCAGACCTACTGAACAAATACTGTACAATTAGATAACTGTTATCTTGCCAACTTTTCGTTGATTCAATGGGTCTACTCTTGTTAGCAATAACAATTGGATTCAGACCTTGGACTCTGACTAATACTTTAAGGCTGAAAAGACTGTCATTCACTGACCATTGTTTCAGTGATCTCAAGATCCTACTGCTTTTATTATGCTTTAATATGTATCCTATTGAGCGCTAACACGATGTAAGTGGATTGCTGTGAGTTTTCCAGGCTATATGGCCATGTTCCAGAAGCATTCTCTCCTGACGTTTCACTTACATCTATGGTAGGCATCCTCAGAGGTGAGGTCTGTTGGAAACAGACAAAAGTTCTTTCTCCGACCCTTTGACAACACAATGATGTAAGTGATTTGAGCATTGGACTATGACTCTGGAGAGCAGTATTTGGATTGCTTCCATACCATGGAAATCTATTGGGTGAACTTGGACAGGTCACACACTCTCAATCTCAGAGGAAGGCAAAGGCAAATCCCCTCAGAAGAAATCTTGCCAAGTAAAGCCCACAGAGGCACTATACGTTGAAAACAACTTAAGGCGTACTACAATATACGCATGCTTTTGTTATCGAGAAATCATCCCCCCCCCCAAATGAATTCTATAAAATGCAACGAAGATCCGCATAGTTAAAGCAATGGTATTCCCCATAGTCACCTACGGATGTGAGAGCTGGACCATAGGGAAGGCTGAGTGAAGGAAGATAGATACTTTTGAACTGTGGTGCTGGAGGAAAGTTCTGAGAGTGCCTTGGACTGCCAGAAGATCCAACCTGTCCATACTTCAGGAAATAAAGCCCGACTGCTCATGGGAGGGAAGGATAGTAGAGGCAAAGATGAAGTACATTGGCCACATCATGAGAAGAAAGGAAAGCTTAGAAAAGACAATGATGCTGGGGGAAATGAAGGAAAAAAGAAGATGGGCCGACAAGGGCAAGATGGATGGATGTCATCCTTGAAGTGGCTGGATTGACCTTGAAGGAGCTGGGGGTGGTGATGACCAACAGGGAGCTCTGGCGTTGGCTGGTCCATGAGTTCATGAAGAGTCAGAAACGACTGAATGGATGAACAACAACATATATGAATTTAAGACTTGGCTCCATTGGAAAATATAGCCAACCACATGGTAATTTTTAATTGCCCTAAAATGTAACCTTTGTTGAAATGTCTTGGAAATTCCCCAGAACTCACAATAGACAAAAGATGTCAAACCCACAAATGACAGTTTAATAAATTTCCCACCTTGTCTCCGATTGGCTCAGAGGCAGAAGCTGAGTCGTACCTCCTCCAATGGGGCTGCAGACTCTAGCCAGCGCTCTCCAAGACCAATGAAAAATCATCATGGAAATTGTCAATTGTTCTCTAATGCTTTTTGTTTCCATCAATGTACTATAAATAGACTAATGTGTTCACAGTTGTGGTGTGTCAGTAATTTGGAGTGCTGTCTCCATTGACATCCTCTTTGGCCACTGAGAATAAACCTCTGATTTTGCCTTCTACCTCACTGTATCTAATTTGACTTTTTGGAATAGCTAGACACACCGAGTTCCCTAAACTCACGAATTTAGCGGAGCTGAAATCACTCAGTGGTATTAAAACCAGCTTCAGTTAGACATCTTTTTGAACATGTGGGTTTATATCTCAATTGGAGAGCCCTTTCCAAACCAAAATCCGAATTCTAGTTTGGAAAAGGTTCTGTGGGGCTTAGTTCAGCAGTAAGTGGTCAGGGACAAATCCAAATGACAATTTGCCACAATGGCAGGTTTGCAAAAAGTTGCCAACTTGGAAACAAGAAAGCCTATTCCAGGAAAAGCCTTGCCTGTTTGCAAATAAGATAACAGATTACGTGCACAGCCCTTTCAGTGTGCTCCCATTCCACAAAACCCCTTCCAGGGTTACAAAACAAGAGTTCATTTCACTGCAAAACCTTATCGGGATGTAAACAGAAGCAGCCTGATTGGAGGAAGAAACCGTGCACGATGAATTAGTCCTGTGGACTACAAGTTCCACTCCACAGGCTTCTAGTATTATCCCAGAAATGTCAAACTTTTCTCTAATTTTTGTTGCAATAAAAATAAACTATCTGTTTATATGTGGAACAAAGGTTTTTAATATATAAAAGTATTTTATTAAGACTTTGTTAACAATGATTAAACATTAACAGGGGGAATTCCAGACAGGAAACAATCAAGGCCAGCTAACACCTCCCAACAAAGGATTCCCCCAGGCAGGAAGCAGCCAGGCTTTGAAGCTGCAAGGCCATTCAATACTAATCAAGGTGGCCAACTGCAACATTCATACTTGTCTCAAACAGACACGAGTTATTTTTCCAACCCTGGACATTCCCATTTGCATAGTTTCCAACACTTTGTTAACAATGATTAAATGTTAATGAGGAAATTCCAGACAGGAAACAATCAGGATCAGCTAACACCTCCCAACAAAGGATTCCTCTGGCCAGGAAGCAGCCAGGCTTTGAAGCTGCCAGGCCATTCAATGCTAATCAAGGTGGCCAATTGCAGCATTCATACTTGCCTCAAACAGATACGAGTTCTTTTTCCCATTCACTTCCCTAATTTCCAACAGACATCACAACCTCCAAGGATGCATACTATAGATGTGGGCAAAACGTCAGGAGAGAATGCTTCTAGAACATGGCCATACAGCCTGGAAAACTCACAGTAATCCATTGATTCCAGCCATTAAAACCTTCAACAACAAAATTGAGGACAGTTCCCATCACACAGATGTGGAGAACTAAGCTGTGGCTTCTTGGATAATGTAATCCTATCGGTATCTAACAAGACTTCACAGTGAATTGCACGGGGCTCACTCTTAGGTAAGTACTTGTAAGATTTCAGCCAAACTGTGCTGGAGTTTTCCAGGTGGTGAGCCCTGCCCTTCAGAGGAAAGAGACGACAAAACCACCTGAATATTCCGTGCCTGAGAAAACTCTATGAAATCCATTGGCTCACCACAAGTCAACAGGGACCTTAAAGGCACACAGGCACAGAAACCATTTAGCATAGCTCAGGGGTCTCCAAACTAAGGCCCACAGGCCGGATGTGGCCTTTCCTCTTCCTCCACACACCAAACTTTACCCTTAGCGTGGCCCTAAGTCTGAAAAAACTTGAAGGCACACAACAGTCCTAATTAACTTGATCATCTCATCAGCCAACAGCAAGCCCACGCTTCCCATTGAAATACTGGTAAGTTTATGGTAGTTACAATTGTTTTTCTTTTTAAAAATAGTATATTCTTTCATGGGTTTCCTGTACTACAAATAAGATATGTGCAGTGTGCATAGGAATGTGTCCATATTTTTTTCAGACTATAGTCTGCCTCTCTAACAGTCAGGAGCGACTGGTCGCTTCTGGTGTGAGAGAATTGGCCATCTGCAAGGACGTTGCCCAGGGGATGCCCAGATGTGTTAGCATCCTGTAGGAGGCTTCTCTCATATCCCCATATGGGAACTGGAGCTGACAGACAGGAGCTCACCCTACTCCCTGGATACGAACCTCCGACCTTTTGGTCAGCAGTCCTCCTAACACAAGGTTTAACTCAGTGCACTACTGGGGTTCCTGCCCTCCTAACAGTGAGGGACTGGGAACTGCTTAAAATGTCTGAGGACCTCTGGTATAGACCTCTGTATAATTGCCTTTATTTATTTAATGTATTTAGGGATCATTATTCAGCATACCTTAAGCATACTTGCTTCTGTAATAGAATCATCTTATTGGGGCTATTTATTATGTATTATGGAGCCCCCATTTAGTTTTGGCAAAAATTGGTATGATAGGCAATTTGGCAAAAATTGGTATGATAGGCAATTTAGGCAAAAATTGGTATGATAAGAAACAAAGATGGCAGGGACCTAACAGAAGCTGAAGAGATCAAGAGAAGGTGTCGAGACTATACAGAAGATCTGTATAGGAAGGATAATAATATTGAGGATAGTTTTGACGGTGTGGTGAATGAATTAGAACCAGACATCCTGAGGAGTGAGGTTGAATGGGCCTTAAGAAGCATTGCTAACAACAATGCAGCAGGAGACGACGGGATCCCAGCTGAACTGTTTAAAATCTTAAAAGATGATGCTGTCAAGGTGATGCAGGCCATTTGCCAGCAAATATGGAAAACACAAGAATGGCCATCAGACTGGAAAAAATCAACTTATATCCCCATACCAAAAAAGGGAAATGCGAAAGACTGCTCAAACTTCCGTACAGTGGCCCTTATTTCTCATGCCAGTAAGGTAATGCTCAAGATCCTGCAAGGAAGACTCCAGCAATACATGGAGCGAGAGTTGCCAGATGTTCAAGCTGGGTTTAGAAAAGGTAGAGGAACGAGAGACCAAATTGCCAATATCCGCTGGATAATGGAGAAAGGCAGGGAGTTTCAGAAAAACATCTTCTTCTGCTTCATTGACTATTCTAAAGCCTTTGACTGTGTGGATCATAATAAATTGTGGCAAGTTCTTGGTGGGATGGGCATCCCAAGCCACCTTCTCTCTCTCCTGAGGAATCTGTACAAGGACCAAGTAGCAACAGTCAGAACTGACCACGGAACAACAGACTGGTTCAAGATTGGGAAAGGCGTACGGCAAGGCTGCATCCTCTCACCCAACCTATTCAACTTGTATGCAGAACACATCATGCGATGTGCGGGGCTGGATGAATGCAAAGCTGGGGTGAAAATTGCTGGAAGAAACATTAACAACCTCAGATATGCAGATGACACCACTCTGATGGCCGAAAGCGAGGAGGAGCTGAGGAGCCTTCTAATCAAGGTGAAAGAAGAAAGCGCAAAAGCTGGGTTGCAGCTAAACATAAAAAAAAACCAAGATTATGGCAACAAGAATGATTGACAACTGGAAAATAGAGGGAGAAAATGTGGAGGCCGTGACAGACTTTGTATTTCTAGGTGCAAAGATGACTGCAGATGCAGACTGTGGCCAGGAAATCAGAAGACGCTTACTTCTTGGGAGGAGAGCAATGTCCAATCTCGATAAAATAGTAAAGAGTAGAGACATCAGACTGGCAACAAAGATCCGCCTAATCAAAGCCATGGTATTCCCTGTAGTAACCTACGGATGTGAGAGCTGGACCTTAGGGAAGGCTGAGCGAAGGAAGATCGATGCTTTTGAGCTGTGGTGTTGGAGGAAAGTTCTGAGAGTGCCTTGGACTGCGAGAAGATCCAACCAGTCCATCCTCCAGGAAATAAAGCCCTACTGCTCACTGGAGGGAAAGATACTAGAGACAAAGTTGAAGTACTTTGGCCACATCATGAGGAGACAGGAAAGCCTAGAGAAGACAACTATGCTGGGGAAAGTGGAAGGCAAAAGGAAGAGGGGCCGACCAAGGGCAAGATGGATGGATGGCATCCTTGAAGTGACTGGACTGACCTTGAGGGAGCTGGGGTGGTAACGGCCGACAGGGAGCTCTGGCGTAGGCTGGTCCATGAGGTCACAAAGAGTCAGACGTGACTGAACAACACAGAGCCCCGGTGCAGTGGTTAAACCCTTGTGCCGCAGGACTGAAGCCTGAAAGGTCGGAGATTCAAATCCGGGGAAAGCGTGGATGAGCTCCCTCTGTCAGCTCCAGCTCCCCATACGGGGACATGACAGAAGCCTCCCACAGGATGGCAAAACATCAAACATCTGGACGTCCCCTGGGCAACGTCCTTGAAGACAGCCAATTCTCTCATACCAGAAGCAACTTGCAATTTCTCAAGTCGCTCCTGACACACACAAAAATTATGCATTATGTGTCTTTCAATTATATATACGAGGGTTGAATGAAAAGTAATGGCTCCACCTTCATTACTTGGGTTTGGATGGGAATATTTTAATAAATAAAACGCAGAAATAATCATTAGAATGTGCTCTTTAACTGCCACTATTCAATACCACTCTTCTTTTCGACATAATCACCAGACAATTGGATACATTTCTGCCAACGATGAACAAGTTTTCTGAAGCCGTCACAGAAGAAGTTGACACTCTGTTTCCGCAACCCATCGTGCACAGATTTTGCAATAGCTAAGCAATAATGTGACTCACATGTTCTTGTGAAATGTCGATGCTTGAAATTTCTCTCTGAGTGATATGATGATTGTCCTGAATCAATCTGTCAACCTTTTGCTTGTGAAACTTGGTGGTTGCTGTCACAGGACATCCAACTCTTTGTCACACAAGTCAGATGTTCCCACCTCAACATCTTTAAACTTATTTGCCCAACAACGCACAATACTCACATCAATACAATCACCATAAACAGCTTACATTCTCTGATGAATCTCCTTTAGGATGACACCTTCTGCTGCCAAGAATTCAATGACTGCACATTGTTTAACTCGCATTGACCGACCGTCTGCGCAGGGTTCCATACTTCGCACTTTAACAACACAACCGTTCAATGCTAAGGCTTCCCGCCAAAATGGAACTGTAGAGGAGAGTCCACTGAACAAGCCAGTACCTGCCGCACCAGTACTGCCATCTGTTGAGGAGTTACGAAGGTGGAAGCATTACTTTTCATTCAACCCTTGTACTGTATAGTGCAGTCACTTCCATATAAACATGCTATACATTTATTATAATCATTACACTACAATTCTTTAGCCTTCTTTCCCTTTATTCTATCCTTGTTCTAGACAGTGGTCATGAGAACCAAGAAATATCAGGATTTTGTGAGCGAACCTATGGGTGACAAACCTATTACTGCAGTGGATGGTATTGATGACGAACTCGGAGCAAAGCTAGCTGCAAAGGGCTTTGACAAGGTAATATATTAACCCACTGTGCCCTAGTTGTGTCACTCTATAATCTCTTTGGGTCGCATTACAGGAACTAATGTTTGAAGAGCCAAAACAAACTACGACTTGAAGAATAGAGAGGTAAGATTTCTGAAATTATGAAGCCACAATTCATCTCCAAATCAAAACACTCTAGCAAGAGTTATTTTTAGGCACCGTTTCCCAAGCAAAAACTATATATTTACACTTACAAATGTCACTTTCACAGAAATTTCTAAAGATTCTATCCAAACTGAGAAACGAATTGGAACAATTTAACTCACAGCTCCTTCGAGATTCATGTGCTTGTCCTAATTCATGCACATACATATCCCAAAGGCTTGCCAATCTTTAGGCGCTCCCCTGAGCAGCAACAGGATTTCTATGGCCCCATCTACGCTGCCAGATTATCTGCTTTGAACTGGATTATATGCCAGTGTAGACTCATATAATCCAGTTCAAAGCAGATAATATGGATAATCTTGATTATAATAGGGCAGTGTAGAAGAAGAAACCAGTACTACGGATCGGCCATGGAAACAAACCATTGATGTGTTCTGGGGTACTCCCTCGTTGCATCTGTGATCCATAATGGTGCTCCTTGTCTTTTCTGCAAGATTCCATAGCATAGAGCCATGGCAGATAAAATGGTATCAAACTACATTGATTCTACAGTGTAGATGCACTCCCTGTTGACTAAAGGGTTATTAGTGTGACATGTGTGTTCTGGAAATCCCAGATTTCTGCCGTATTCAAATTTCCAGGCAGCTGAATGATTTCAGAACTGCTTCCTTGTAAAGAGCCTTTTACATAGTAATAGTAATATTTTGTCACAATAACAATATACTGAGCAATATAAAAGGACTTGAGAACCGATCCTATATTGCAGTGGACACATACTGAATAATTGTTTTAGTTACTGTAAGCGTCTTCTTGAAAATGTGGGTAAAACAGTACAACTTACAACCTCATCACATGTGGAAATTTCAGCATCCTAGGAGGCATCTGCCCCAGTTGAACCACAGAACTCCATGCTGCCCATCACACAATGTAGCCTCACTTCCAGTAGGGCTCCGTGATTCAACTGGAGCAGAAGTGTCCTAGGACGTTGTGCTGCCAACCCGGAAGCCTCCCCATGCTCTATTTCAAACAATGGGGCTACAGCAGGGGGGAGCCTTGCGGCAATGTTTCTCCATATGTGATGGGGAAGCGTCAGCTGACGGCGAGGCAGGGTGCCAGGATTGCCCTGCTGCCCCCCAATTTCCCACAGAGGCTGGCAAATCAATCCAGAGGACCTCATTAATGTGATAAGGTCCACAATCAAAGGCTGGTTTGTTGAACTATTTTCAACACCAAAATCCAGGCATGAAAACCATCTATTTTTTAAGATTTTCTGTCCATTTGGTCATTTGCTTTTGCTGTTCATTTGAATAATGTTGATTCTCCTTCCCATTCTTTCAGGCATACATCCTTTTAGGACAGTTTCTGCTCCTGAAGAAGGAATGTGCTGCATTTCAAAGCTGGCTGAAGTCATCCTTTGATGCCAATAGTAGCCAGGCGGAGCAGTGCGCTTTGTGCCTCTTGGAGTGGTCCTATGCCTTCTTATGAAGCGTAGTCATATCCTTCTCCTCCCAAAAACAAGGACCCCCAGTTCCCACTGCCATGGCCTGAAATAAAGTGGCCCGCAATGGATTCTAGCACTGTAAAGTGATTAAATGTCATGCTAGCTAAAAAGGTATACGATTGCACGTACTTTGCATAACATGTATGAAAAGTTTACAAATTTTTAATGTAATAAAACTCCATGGCTGGGATTTCTGGGAGTTGTAGGCCAAAACACCTCGGGACACTCAGGTTGAGAACCACTGGTTTAAGAGAAAGTTGTCTCTATAAAAGTAAAGGTTTCCCCTTGACATAAAGTCTAGTTGTGTCCAACTCTGGAGGGTAGTGCTCATCTCCATTTCTAAGCCAAAGAGCCAGCGTTGTATGTAGACACCTCCAAAGTCACGTGGCCAACATGACTGAACGAAGCGCTGTTACCTTCCCACCAGAGCGTTACCTATTGATCTACTCCCATTTTCATGTTTTCGAACTGCTAGGTTGGCAGAAGCTGGGCCTAACAGCAGGAGCTCACCCCACTCCCTGAATTTGAACTGCTGTCCTTTCAGTCAGCTAGTTCAGCAGCTTAGCAGTTTAACCCACTGTGCCACCGGGGGCTCCACTATATAGCAATTCCTAATTATGGAATTTCCTACCTAAAGGAGGCAATTTGACCCTCTATCCCAGTTTGTGTCATCTAAGTATGACCTTATATTTGTTTGACTTATATTTGGTAAGCCAGTTTGAACAATTTCCAATGGACCGACTTCTAGGTCTCCCACTTCTTTTATACACTGTAACATTTATTGGTTCTACCATTGTGCTGAGCACTGTGACCACAAGAGAAGAAATCACATTTACGATTTTTCTTAAATACGTTGGCATGCTTAACTTTGTAATGGATTTTGTACAATCTGTCAACAATTGACAAATATTAATCAACCAACAACCACCCAGCTCTTGGCCTGGAAAGATGTAACAATTAATGAGCCCTATGGCCCTTCCACACAGCCCTATATCCTAGAATATCAAAGCAGAAAATCCCACAGTATCTTCTTTGAACTGGGTCATCTGACTTCACACTGCCATATATTCCAGTTCAAAGCAGATAATGTGGGATTTTATTCAACTGCATTGAAGGGGCCCAAGAATCACATAATTTATATTGAACAATATAATAAATAATCGTCCATCTAACCAAGGCTAGAAATTGGTATGCACACAACTGCGCTATATAGGGTATACCTTCTTCAAATAAGCTGAAGACAAAGTTTGGAAATGGAGGGCCATGAAAGCGTCTTTCTTTAAACAGCTAAACCATGATAGTTGCAGTTAGTCATCTTTTCATAAGTATCTGCCTCATAGACTTATTCTTATGTGTTAGAAAAATCCAACCATTCTCAAAAAAGTGGTTGTGGTTCCATCTACATCAGTGGTTCTCAACCTTTCTAATGCCGTGACCCCTTAATACAGTTCCTCATGTTGTGGTGACCCCCAACCATAAAATTATATATGTTGCTACTTTGTAACTGTTAAGGCGAGGTGCAGGGGGGTGGCTCTGCCTGTGGCCTAGTTGGAACACCTCAGCAAGTGAGAGTCCAAAAGTGGCAGGCTCAAACCCAGAACCTCAACCAATGGCTGATACCAAATGAGAAACTCCCCCCTGGGCACACAGAGGACTGGGCCTTGGAAGGCACTGAACAGACTGCGCTCTGGCACCACAAGATGCAGAGCCAACCTTCAGAAATGGGGCTACAAAGTGGAATCCTCAACATGTGAGTGTGTAGAAGAGCCAACCACTGACCACCTGGTGCAATGCAACCTGAGCCCAGCCACATGCACCATGGAGAGCCTTCTTGCGGCAACATCAAGGGGCCAGATGATGTTCAAAGGACATTTAATAAACTACCAAACTCACACATTTTGTATTTTCTGTTTATTTGCTTTGCTCTGTAAGAAATGTAATATAACTGACTGGCCATAACTGACAGGCAGAGCCATCCGCCCGCTCCTCGCCTCCATCTTCCAGCTGAAGGAGACGGGAGGCGGGCGGGAGGCTCTGCCTGCGGCCTAGCGCCACCGGAGCCTCCCGCCCGCCCTTCACCTCCATCTTCAAGCTGCAGAAGGAGGCGGGAGGCGGGCGGGAGGCTCCGGTGGCGCTAGGCCGCAGGCAGAGCCTCCCGCCCGCCTCCCGTCTCCTTCAGATGGGGGCGAGGAGCGGGTGGATGGCTCTGCCTGCGGCCTAGCGCCACCGGAGCCTCCCGCCCGCCCCTCGCCTCCATCTTCAAGCTGCAGAAGGAGACGGGAGGCGGGCGGGATGCTCCGGTGGCGACTAGGCCGCAGGCAGAGCCTCCCGCCCGCTCCTCGCCTCCATGTTCCAGCTGAAGGAGACGGGAGGCGGGCGGGAGGCTCTGCCTGCGGCCTAGCGCCACCGGAGCCTCCCGCCCGCCCTTCACCTCCATCTTCAAGTTGCAGAAGGAGACGGGAGGCGGGCGGGAGGCTCCGGTGGCGCTAGGCCGCAGGCAGAGCCCCCCGCCCGCCTCCCGTCTCCTTCAGCTGGAAGATGGAGGCGAGGAGCGGGTGGATGGCTCTGCCTGCGGCCTAGCGCCACCGGAGCCTCCCGCCCGCCCCTCGCCTCCATCTTCAAGCTGCAGAAGGAGACGGGAGGCGGGCGGGAGGCTCCGGTGGCGCTAGGCCGCAGGCAGAGCCATCCACCCGCTCCTCGCCTCCATCTTCCAGCTGAAGGAGACGGGAGGCGGGCGGGAGGCTCTGCCTGTGACCTAGCGCCACCGGAGTCTCCCGCCCGCCCCTCGCCTCCATCTTGGGCGGATCGACGTTTATTCACCCTTTAGCCCGGAACAGAGGTGAGTCTTCTTCATCCAAATGGTTAGTCTTCTTCATCCAAAGTTTCTCCTCCTGACTATCCACAGATCTCTGGGAAGATCAGGAGGAGCAGCCTATCAGTACAATTGACTTGTGGGTCGGCCGCCATTTTGGAGGGGGCGTGGCTAGCCAATGCGGCTTGGCGACCCCCAGAAAATGGCCAAACGACCCCCCGGGGGGTCGCGACCCCCAGGTTGAGAACCGCTGATCTACATTAACTATTTAATGCAATTCAAAGCTAACTTCAAATTGCAGCAACTAGAAAACAAAATCCCGGTGCTCTACGTAATCACCATCCAGGTTTTCATGATTTTCACACAAAATGTGAAATATATATGCATTATTTCCAGATAGCCATTGTTTCTTGTACAAATGTGCTAGTTTTATAGCAAAAAAACAAAACAAAAACAAAAACAAAAACAAAAACACAACAAAAAAACAGCAATCTTGCACAAAAATATAGGTAGTGTTTTTGTGTGAAAATTGTTTTGTGTGTATGTGTGCAGGGGTGGCTCAACCCATTACGCAAAGTAAGCATTTGCAGTATAGTTGATTTTGCCATAGGGCGCTCTTGAGGCACTCTTGGGGGAAAATAGACCTTGACATATGCGAGTTGTAGTTACTGGGATGTATAGTTCACCTACAATCAAAGAGCATTCTGAACTCCACCAATGATGGAATTGAACCAAATATGGCACACAGAACTCCCACGATGAACAGAAAATATATATCAGTGATTGGTTGGGGGGGGGGGGGGGGAGGCAAATACTGTTTGCTTACTGTTGAAAATTACCTAGGGCCGCCTCTGTATGTGTAGAAACAACCAGCAGCAAAAGGCCAGGTTCTCAACCACAACCACCTATGTAGGGAAACCTATTTTTTGATGCAAAATAATATTTCTGTACAAATTCCATTAATTTTGCACAGAAATAGCACATAGTTTCAGAAAACATTATTTGGTCAGAACTGGGGCTCACCAGGAAAAATTGCATTTAAACTTGTTGTTTCTTCGTTTAGTCACTTCCGACTCTTAGTGATCTGATAAACCAGCCCACGCCAGAGCTCCCTGTCGGCTGTGGCCACCCTCAGCTCTTTCAAGGTCAATCCAGTCACTTCAAGGATACCATCCATCCATTTTGCCCTTGGTCGGCCCCTCTTCCTTTTTCCATCCATTTTCCCCAGCATGTCTTCTCTAAGCTTTCCTGTCTTCTAACATTCAAATATTTTGGGACAAAAATCTAAGAGTTCTTAAGAGAGAAACAAACATTAATACAGAAAGAAGAGACACTATTATGAAGCATTGCTCTGCTGCCATTAGACCATGAAAATGATGTCATTAAATCAGAGTCACACATCCACTTAAATCAAAACAAAGGCACCAGGCCACCACAACCGTGATTCCTTTTATGGCATCCTGCTGCTGCAGAGGCAAAAATGTCTGGCTGAAAACTGTACTAAGCTGTTATAGTTAGTTTCAAGACTTCATCCCATGGCTTTAAGGCTCTGTTTACACGTGCTTCAGAAATGGAGGCCCATGGAGGTTGTCATATGACGTGAGGGCACTTCTGGTGGGACTCCATGAGGCTCCGTTTCTGTAACACATGGAAACGGAGCTCTAAAGCCATCTTCAGGAGTTGGGTGTTAACTAACTCCAAACAGCAGAAAGCAGGGGAAAGACAGACCTCGTTGCAGAAAGGAGGTGGGATGGCTGGCCATCCCAGAAGACAGGGAAAAATGGGAGGGAACAGAGTAAGATGGTTTCCTCCGCTTTCCTGCTGTTGGTGTGATGAGGTCCTTAAACTCCTCCTCTACCAATTTGTAAACTCAGCCAGATATATTCCAGGGTAAAAAGGTAAAGGTAAAGGTAGTCCCCTGACATTAAGTCCAGTCATGTCTGACTCTGGGGTGTGATGTTCATCTCCATTTCTAAGCCGAAGCGCCAGCGTTGTCCGTAGACACCTCCAAGGTCATGTGGCCGGCATGACTGCATGGAGTGCCATTATTCCATATTCCAGGGTAGTTTTCCTAAATCTAGGGGGATTTCCCCCTGTGTTTTATTTTTTAAAACAACAACAACATTAAATGGAAGCTGGACAGCAACATTAACATAAGTCAGGATCTACTTGATCGGGGTCAGGACAATCCCTAGCACTATCAAAGAAAGATGCCTCACCCAGCATAAATTTGCACTTGTCTTTTCTCAAGAAATAATAATAATAATAATAATAATAATAATAATAATAATAATAATAATCTTTATTTATACCCCACCACCATCTCCCCAATGGAGACTCGCAGCGGCTAA